CCCACAAAGCGAATCAACATCCAATCAGACTGGTTCGGGTGAAACCTGCACAACCAAAACACACACACGACGATGTGACCTGTCTAGTGTGACTGTGTTGAGCAAGAAGCAGCCTGCTCGACGAGCACCTGCTGCTGACCTGGCTCTGTTGTCTGCATTGGCGTGTGCGTCGGATGATGTCTTCGAGGAGGACACTGACTCGATAGTGAAGCTGTTGAGGGGCGACGCAAACACACACACAAGGGCAATGCACGCGTGTATCGCTGCACTCATCGTGAACGGTGAAATGACCATCGATGATGGCTTTGCTGCCCTGCTCTCTGACCTCGTGCCGCAGAATATGAGCGATTTGAAGAAGCTCAGCGCCGAGGAACAGAAGGAATGGTGGGAGGCCATCCACAAAGAGCGCGATTCGATCGTCCGGAAGGATGTCGGGGATCTTGTCGATGTTGCTGAAGCCACGTCGAAGATCTTGCCGTGCAAAATCATCCTCACACAGAAACCTGACAGAAAGAAAGCACGGATAGTGGTGTGCGGGAACGCACAGAGTCTGATGGACGTCGGGCAGACATTCGCCCCCACTCTCTCTGGCATTGCCATTCGTGTCTTTCTCTGTCTGTGTACGATGACGGGACGAACCATCTATCAGACCGATGTGGACGTCGCCTTCCTCAATTCTCCCTTGCCGTACCCTGTGTTTGTCAGATGTCCTGAAGGATTTGAGATACCTGGAAAGGTCTGGCGCTTGAAAAAGGCCCTGTATGGCTTGAAAGAAGCCCCTCGCGCGTGGAATACGACGCTGGTCAAGTTCTGAAGGACAATGGGTTCGAACAGTGCCTCTGTGACCCGTGCATCTTCATTCATCGGCCGACTGACCTCTGGGTGGTGTTTGTAGTGGATGACATCCTCTACGCCCCCATGTCAGGCCGCGACGCGGACGCCGATTGGTTTCGTCAGCTCCTCAACCGCGAGTACGGTATCAAAGACCTGGGAAAGGCAGATGTGTTTGTGGGCATCAAGATTGAGCGTGATCCGCTCACCGGCGAGATGAAGCTCTCGCAGCGGGCGTACATCGAGAAGATCCTCAAGCGCTTCCGATGGGAGCATTGCAACCCCGCGTCGACACCAGTGGCGAGCGGAGTGAAGCTCAGCAAAGACCACTGCCCCAGCACACCTGAGGAAAAAGAATGGAGCGCTTCCATGCAAGCCGTGTATCGGC